ACTTTATTTATTAAACTCTAGCGGTAATGTTTATTCCACTGTTTTTCACTTCTTTGATTAGAGCTTCGCATTTCAAGAGTCCTAGGACTATCAAGTTGATTGGTTTGACGCTGCTCTTCGTAGTGCTTGTTGGGTTTCTTCATGCTACCGCAGAATTAGACTCGTTAGCGAATTGATTTCAGGGCCATTGCAAGTGATCCGTGCATTATCGGTATCTGGTTGTCGACTATCGGTGGTAGTCTCGGCTTCCAAATTTTCTTACTCTATGGGCCAACGTATATCAATAAGGTTTGTCCGTAAACTTTCCAGATATGGCACTCGCGAAACAGCCCACGAAATGGCAGAAGGAGTACTCCACTGGCTGCCGTAGCCAGTATGTCGCGAATAACACTTAGTTGGAGGGAAATCTCTCTTCTACGTACAGTCGTCATCCGGGCAGTTGATTGGGCGGCTAAAGGGTCACGACGCGGCTACGGCCCCCATCACGACCGCGGCGATCAGCTGTGTCCAGCTCGAGTAAGAAACCATTGTGCCAACTGCCTATAACATCATAGAACTTTTACGTTTGTTCATATGAGTCGTGCTGGGACTGATCCCATTAATAGACTTTACCCCTTTCCCCGCGACTCACGGCTAACTTTACCTATTTGGAGAGGTAACATTTGAGTACTGCTATGGATAGAGGAAATTCCCATATCTTGCTGATTCAGGTGCTTCATTACGATGTGACAAGGACAGGTCTCACCACTGCACTACCATATATTCTTTCGGCGACGCTTAAGTTCTTAGTGGGGCCAATATCTGATCGAGCAAGCTGTATTTCGGACAGATGGCGTCTTGTATTCTTCGCCGCTTTCTCACAAGGACTGATGGCTTTGTCTTTTCTTGCTCTCGTATTTGTGAGTCATTGGTTTTCATATATCAAGTAGTGACTTTGTGTCGTTGGAACACTTTCCAAGAACGAAAAGTTGGCCCAGTGCATGGCGGTAGTATGAGTGGAAGCAGTTTGCCGTGTCTTAATCGTTGGCGCATGTCGTCCTACCGTCCTAAAACCACCACTGATTAAATAACACTACTGCTGACTGTGTCCGCCCATACCACCGGATTGTGCTGTGCCTATAACCTTTGAATGCTAAGGCTGCGTTCATACCGTGCGACGGCGTCGTCAACGTCGACGATTTCGACGAAAGCGACGAAAGAGGCGAAACCGACGACTAGTTCCCGAAGATTGTATACGTATCGATCCGACGTAACGGACGAAACCGACGATTTCGACGAAAGCGACGAAAGCGACGACTACTTCACGAAGATTACATACCTATCGATTCGACGAACGAAACCGACGAATTTCGACGAAAGTGACGAAAGCGACGACTACTTCGCGAACATTAGATACGTATCGATTATCGAAAACGACGAAACTGACGATTTCGGCGACTGTGCCAAGAATTAGCTTTTCGTAGATGGTTTTTCCCCACAATTTTTTTTTTTATTTATTTCCTTTTCTGTTTGTAAACATTTTCCCTATCTCCTTCCATCCTCTTGAGTGACCTTACAACCTATCTTCTTCATTTTCGAGAGAAATACCATGAAATAAAAAAGTATGAAAATTAGAATGGTTACCTGAGGTCCAACTACGGGACCTCCTTCACGACCTGAATAAGAATTAGTGCATTGCAAAAAAGGGTGCTGGTGATGACTCATCGGCGTACTTGAAGCGCAAATCTAGCAGCGAAATTAGAGTGACACAAACAAGATATGTATACGTTATCTACGAGCATCGAGATCAAAAACTGTAAGATTTTCAAAAAACACTGACAGGACTTTCCTTCCAACCTGTATATACTGGGAACCACATCGATTCCACGTAAGCCACGTGGAATCGATGTCATGGTATTTCTCTCGAAAATGAAGAAGATAGGTTGTAAGGTCACTCAAGAGGATGGAAGGAGATAGGGAAAATGTTTACAGAAAAGGAAATAAATAAAAAAAGTGAAAAAGTTGTGGGGAAAAACCATCTACGAAAAGCTAATTCTTGGCACAGTCGCCGAAATCGTCAGTTTCGTCGTTTTCGATAATCGATACGTATCTAATGTTCGCGAAGTAGTCGTCGTTTCGTTTCGTCGGTTTCGCCCCTTTCGTCGCTTTCGCCTCTTTCGTCGCTTTCGTCGAAATCGTCGCTTTCGTCGGTTTCGTCCGTTACGTCGGATCGATACATATATATTCTTCGCGAACTAGTCGTCGAAATCGTCGTTATCGTCGACGTTGACGACTCGTCGCACGGTATGAACGCAGCCTAAACGGTCAAGGATACCGTAGCTGAGGCTCACGCAAATCATATCAATGACATCAGACGAGGTGTCTCTTCTTCAAGAGTGAGTCAACAGTTAGGGTCATTTCCCTCATTTACGCCTGTAAAAGAACCAGCTTCGTGTACTCCGGAGTACAATTGTCTTTATTATGGACAGCTCATAAAGGGCTGTATCTTCCACGATACTTTCATTTCTTTCTAGGCATTGTGCACTGTTCCAGATAACGTCTCCCAGTCTGGCTCAAACTGCCTATACTGTTGCCATAGTGTCTAGCGGTATTAATGCAGTTGGCACTATAAAATGCGCTCAGATGGTAGGTATATGTAGTGTAGAACCGAAATATTCAATTGTTAAATTCAAGTTCTAGTTGTTAATTTGTCAGATTGGAGGTGCATACTATACAGCTCTCCGTATACATTCATACCACTTTAAGGTAGCACGACAACACGTCCACGTTGTGATGGCGGTGACCTCGTTTTTACTGTGCGTCATAGTTCTAGTGATTCCGCTTGCCGTCAACATAGTTTGTCCGGACAACACTCCGGAACAGGTACCGTCTTCGCCATTAGTACTGGTGGCTCCATCGTCAGTCCAACCTTTCAAATCTTGGTCATGTTTACAAACAGCCACTACTGCCGCACACGATAAGTAGCGGGAATGAAGCTGGAAACTTCGAAAATTGCATTCCTTCAACGTTTTTGGTGTATTTATCGAACGATAAACGGAACGGAAACGGGGCATTGAAATAACCTTCATTCTACAGTATCGACTCCGCAAGGCCTTCGAAGATGCTTTTACGTAATTATCAGGTCATCCCATTCAAAAATGTAGATACATATAGAGCAATAGCAGGAAAGCGCGGGTGTAATAACTGTAGCCTTCTAGTCTGTGATCTAGTACAGTTACCACGCATAAGTGAAAGCTAGCTTAGTCGCAGAAGAAAGTGTAGAGATTTTGAAAAGAAGCTCGAGTGTTCAAAATCAGCGCCGGATTTTTGAATCGGGCATAACAAGAGGAAGGTGCGCTGCTTCAGTTCGACTTGTGCTGGACCAGTTGGTTCACCACACGGAAAGGTGTTCACCACACAGAACGGTGTTCTCGAAATTCATGGTGGAGGATTTGCTTCGGGAGCCCGAAGAAGGAAGAAAGGAAAAATTTGTTGTCGTGGATGGTCCCTGCACAAGAAAAAAGGGTGGATGAAGTCAAGCGCTGAATGTCTGATCACAGAGGCTGGACCCTGGTCGAGCTTCTACGCGAGACATTCCCTGCGGTAACTGCTGCCCGAGTTAGGTCTGATAAGTTGAGGATGGTGAAGAAGGTATGCGTATTGGTAGCTAATTTTCTTTTCGAAGCACCAGCGCAGTACCGGTTTTATGCCTCTAGCAGAAATGTTGTCAGCATGAGATGCCATTCACGTCTGTGAAAACGCACTCCGACCCTAGATGAGATGTGGGTGGTCGTGGACCTCGGGCCAAAACTCACAATCGCCAGTTTTGTATGGATGCAGATGAGAAGCCGCCCGAGCTCTAGTTCTAAACGCTACAACTTTCGATCGTTCGCCGAAATTGGCATTAACAGCAATTTACTCGGCAGCTCTGAATAAGACTAGAGCGGGCTCCTTGATGGATGGAGGGAATTTTAGTTAAGCTAATGCCAAGATGTTTACTCTTTTTAATCTTTCTCCTCTTCGTTTTGTTCATGAACAAAACCTTCCACATTTTTCAGTGGGATGACCTAGTATTTCCACACATTCTTAGAAATTTTCCTGGGCGGGCGGAAAGACTCATTTTCATACAGATGACAGTGGGTCCCAGACTGGATTTCGCGAGTAACAATTCGAGCCCGTTCAAAATGCAACGCCTTATCTGGCTGCGGATATAACTAGTTGTACCTCAGCTTTCATGCTTCGAATTATAAAAGTGACCTGAGGTTGTAGTGATAACAGCAGCTTAAAGCCGCCATTCGCGCTCTAAAGGCTACAGTCCTCATCATTGCGGACTGTCGGAGTTCGGCTGTGCAACGCGGTCCAAATGGGCGTTCTGCTTCGTTGCTCTACCAATGGCGATCGGGTAAAGATCGATTCAGGGAGGGAGCAACCAATGATGGAAACGCCGCAGGTGCGAGCCGCTGATTGCGACCCGACACTGTGGTGATGTAAAGTGTACCTCAATGAAGAGATATGGACAAAAGTCGGAGATGGACTCGAGCATATCCCCTTCCGGGCTCGCGGTTTGCGGTTTTCATTAAGAAGCCTTCGGCCTGGCCGACAGAGTTTTTTCTCTATCTCCGATACTCACGTACAAACGTCTCCATCTCACGCTGAACGGTGGTGCCAGTGCTGGTAAGGCCTATGGCCATCCGCGCCCACAGAATGCTATCGGACCGCCCCTGACAGAGGGTAAGTGCCGTCGCGATAGCGTAACGGGATAAAAGCAACCGTTCGCTTGATGCGGCGAGGATACTGTCCCGTGCCATGAGGTTCGACTTTTTGTTCCGTAATCTTAGCATTACTTATGCTGACTGTGACAGTTTAACTGGCTTTTTGTCCATCACTTGGGTCGATTCGCTACAGAGTCAGATTATCACATACTAATTGAGGGAGTTTCAACAAAATTGTATGAAAATGCAATGGCATGACTTGTTGGAAGCTTTTTGTCAGTCTTTCGTGTAAGTGTGAATTGCAGCTCAAATCTCACCCGTAGTAAAACTGCCTTCCATTGTTATGGTGTGAAAAGACTCGTAATTGACAATATAATCCCGCTTCCCCGCCCTCCTAAATTTGTATTTATTGCAATATTTCCTGGGATGCGGTAGGGCGCTGGCGGCCCGCTGTTGAACCGCCGAACGTGTCCGGTGGCAACGGAGCTTTCTACTTAGCTTGTTGGCATCAAGTTCCTTCCCCGACTGTTTTTTACTAATTTTTAAATATCTCAATAGCGAACCAGCCTGAAGATTAGAGGTATGCACCATCACCATCCACTACTCGACGCCAACGCTCAGGCAGCTTGTCGATTCCATCGTCCCAGAAGGACGGGGCTGGGACCCGAAGAAGGCCACAATGCCGCACAATCACCACTGTGACATGGTTTTGCACTGGTAATTGTGCGGCATTGTAGCCTGCAAATGCAGGGTGGGTGAGTGATAGCTGGTGAAAGAGTATCATGTACACGTCACGCACACGTGATGACGAAATACCAACCTCCATGCAAACGAAATACGGAAGGATCAAAACAGGGAGAAAAAACTTATGCAACAATATGAGATGTTTTCATTTTGGAGCAACTGATATTATGATTTCGGCAACACAGAACAGGACGGCAGTTGTCTCAAACGAGTGACCTATCCTACGTCATGCTGGAATGTCACGCCTACTTCATCTCAGGGATAAAAAGTGTAATTTCTGACTTTCCCACGCTCCGCGCAAATTTTCGAAAACTCCAGTTTTTCCCGTATAATGAAGTTCCAGTCGACTCCTGAAAACTAGTAACTTATTTAACTATCAAATGAGTCCTTCTGAAAACTAATAACTTATTTAGCTATCAATAAGTTATTACAGTTGTGATGGTCGCAATCCGGGCGGGCTGTGTCAGTAGGCTGGGCTGAATGGGCTCGCCCGCGGCGCCCAATACCTTTGGTTGCTTGCTACTTGAACGCGACCTCTATTGGAAGAAACCGCAACGGCCGGTGGCCCCAATCCACACCTTCTGACACTGCCCCGACTGATCGCGGCGATATCAAGTGTATGTGGGGGTTTTGCGGCACCCTCAAGTTGAAAACTGAGAACAGTGAACACACCCGAAGCAATTTTCTCGCGGCTGGGAAGAATTTCACTCTAACCCAACTACGACTCGTACCAACGGATCTGCTTATCTCCCACTCCCTCCTACCGCATTGAAATGCTCCCAACGATGTGTATAGCGCGTCTAAACGGGAGAATTCAAAATCAAAAAGGAACTGCTTTCAGAAAGTCACAAAGGATCGAACTGGGTTCAAAGGCGGTGATTTGAAAGGGTTTTACCAAGGTCGGGCGACTCCCTCCGTATTGGTCTATCGCACAATAAACATCTACTCACTAGCGGGTCCCTCAGCTTTCTTCAACTTACGATCCAAGATCGAAAGCTGTTCAAAGACTGACAGAAAAGGAGCAAAGTAAAAACGCGGCCACGGTACATGCAACATCTAAGAGCACATACAAGGGGCGCAGCCGTGAACATAACGATGGCTGCGAGGGTTCAGACGGAAGAGAAGCAGAGGCATACGTATATAGTAGGGGAGCATTGGCACGGGACCACATAGCCGTCGCGAGTACTCCCTTTCTGCCCTTTGATGTGGAGTGCATGTGGTATTACGATGTTGTTGCAAGACCCAAATTTTATCTGCCATGTTTCATCCCAAATAGTAAGAGTTTCACTGTAGGATAGTATTCCTTCTTGATGTGAATATATTCTGTTTTCAGTGGTCACGTTTGTTTTTCGGAATAAGCGTGATTGTCGTTGCGTCGAATATACCGTTTGTGTTTGTTCGCTAGAAGCGAACCAGCACCATGGACAGGAAATAAGGTTGCTTTTTCTTTCATCAACATAATTAGGATTGTTTCTGCCAATATTGAGGTTTACTTTTTTCATTT